TGTGTGTGTGTGTGTGTGTGTGTGTGTACCCACAATAGACTAGAATAACTCCTTTGAAGACTCTCTTCATAGTCTATTGATTATATAGATTTTGATAAAATAACTAAATATGTATTTGCCAGAAGAGCATATTGGTAGGAGAATGGCTCCTCCTGAGATGTCCTCACAAAAGCTATAAGAACAGCACTATTCATTCTGAGTCTCTAAGGTAACAATCTACATTTTTAGCTCTCACATCGCTTTTATAATCACAATTCACTTTTGAATGATGAATTTTTAATGATGAATAAGCAAAGCTTGATATCCAAACCTGAGTTAATTTTTTAATGATGAATAAGCAAAGCTTGATGTTCAAACTTGAGTGAATTCTGACGCTTTGTGAAAACCATTGTAACACTATTTTAAAACTATCTTCAAATGCCATAACAATCTGGAAATAATTAGGTATCTCTGCTTTTTTAAATTAGAACTATTCATTAGTAACATGAAATATATCTGCTAATTTAAATTGAAAAGATAATGTGTAAGGAGTTATTAATACTTTTTACAGTAGTTATTTCAAGACTTGAACACTGTATTTTTTATTGTGAGAATATTAACTTTGAGTCATAAAAGGGAAAATAACTACAGCTATTAAAATCATGTACGTTATATTCTATTTTGCAAAGGTAGACAGATTTCTTCTAAATGAAAGACAAATTAATTAGCCTTTCAAGCAAATACATAAAAACACACTCCAAACAAAGGATATTCAAGGGGTAGAGTCAATCAACAGAAGTATAGTGGAAATAACCAAAGCAAAATCATTTCCTCAGTAGTAGCGACAGTGGGTAAAAAATTTAATTAAATAGTTTGGGAATGTTTGTCTCTAAATAGCTGCATCATTTCATTCTGGTATTTTGTGTAAAAATATAAAAATCATATACTCTGGTCACGTTTTGTAGAACGTAGTAATAATAGACAATAAAAGTAAATAACACATTTCTAAGTATGGAAAGTGAACCCTTTTCTCACACTAATTATATCCTACGTGTATTGGACTAAAGGATTAACAGTATTTACATGTGATAATATTACAACGAGGTTTACCATGAAGGAGAAATTGCCATGGTAAATGCAGAAATTGCCCACCCTCTTCCGTATCTTCTGTGAGGAAATGAAATCCTCTTACCTGTCACCCTGATACCCAAGAAGATCTTTGTCTACCTCAAAAAGAGCTTAAAATGTCAAGACCCAGCCCCCTCTTTTCATGGTTTATTAAGCTAAAAGCCAAAACTCTTCATGGTCCCTTCCGGTTCCTACAAACCTATGATTCTAATAGGGTAATGGCTCTCTTTTCTTGTTCAGTAGTGTCCTGGGGAGGGAATGTTTTCACTGTCCTTTTTCTGGGGGGTCCCGCCGATTTATCTAAAAGGAAATGAATTACTACTGGGTGACAAGGCCACAAAATAAAGTCATTTAGTTTTACAAATCTATTATGTCCTCTAATCTGTTTTATGGGCCTGGTCCTATTCTAAACCAAGAAAAACCCTAAAATGAACTTTTTTTCTTTTTTTTCTCTCCAATGAGAGAAAATTGACAATTTTATGGTTGTTTTTTAAGCAGGTTAGCTTTTTTTTTTTTTAATCCCTTAAGTATATCTTTTGCCAAAGTTTCTCCCATCCCACTTTCTCAAACATACAAAACATTCAGAGACAATAAACTGGACTTTTTCAAATATAAACTGCTGACAACTGTCAGCTGCACTTCAGTGGGACAGTACTGACTGTAGCTTCAATGAATTAAGCTTGATTCACTGCGGGTGAATCATTTTCAATGCAGAGCTGTTCAGCAGTAATTGGCCAAGAATCCCTGCTGTGAAAAGCACTTGTCAAATAATGCTTGTTTACAAATATATCTCCAGACAGCAAAAAAAGTGGCAGTTAAAAAGTGGCAGTTACTGAGTCAGTTCAGGGCCACCTCCAAAATTCCTAACAGTGGTCATGCCCTGTTTACTTATTAAATTTATTAAAATTTTCACTTGTTGATACACTGGCTAATATTTGTTCTGCTTGATCAATCTGAGACAAGTCTCTTGCTAATTATGCCTCTGACTTACTTTATAACTAAAAAATTTTGTATATTATACTGTAGATCCAAGGTTTCTTCTACATGTAGTTTATGCCTAATGTACTAAGACAACTAAAGATATATTTATCTTGTAAATTGCTTGGGATTCAGGCTAAAAATAAATTTCTTCTTTTTGTCTGCTAGTCAGTATATTCTAACATTCTAAATAAATACATTTTACATTAATAAAAGATTCTAGACTTATGCTTGCTTTGTTTAATTCTGCTTATCGATGTCATCAAAGCTAAATTTTAAAAATGAATACAATACCAATTTTGAATGTAACACAATTTATTTCCACCTGCCTTGAAATATGCCTTTTTCCACATAATGGGCACATTCACATTATGTGCTCTTGTAACACATACATGCTAAAGAAAGCAAATATGCAGCAAGTTATTGATGAGTTCAGCATATACATCAAATCTTTCTGTCCCTGACCTTCCAAAGTCCCTCCAGAAATAATAAACAAAAATAAACTGAAAAACTCTGAATCTTGAAATATTTTTTAAAAGACAGTTGTGGTAAATATTTTAATATATTTTTGCTGCTCAATTTATAGTAGTACTAGCATGGAGAAAAAGAAAGCAGAATATACATTTCACAGAAGAACAGAAATAAAAGCCTAGGATGATAACGACATGGACTCACACACACACACACACACACACACACACACACACACACACACTGTTTTGGGCAGAGATGGCATGAATTGGATAAAGTCATAGCTCTACCAATATATTTTTCTTTTTTTAATAACAAAATTTTATCTCTAATGATATATAATAGCGACATATCACAAAAGGTGCTGCAAACAGCAGGCATGCTTTCATTCTTGGTGTCTTCAGAACACCGAGTGGCAAAGTCCCACTCATCTTTGGTGGCACCGCCTCCAGTCCCCATCAAACTGTAGCCAAAATTTTCTGTGTGCCTAGGAGCTGGCAGGAAGAGAACCTAAGCTCTGGGTGTTCCATCTGCATTACCAGCCAGGCTACCTTCTACAGGATTCGAACTCTTACAGCACCTAGGGGACCAGTGCTATTTTCTTCCTTTCTTCCGTTTCTTTCCTATGCTTCCTCCCCACAGTCTTCACCCTTGTTCCTCTGTTGTGTCCCTGAGAATTCACTTCTTCCCCTTCTCCTAACCAAGAGCACTGACCAAGAACGACTCTCTTTCATCTCTGCCCACAGTCCCACCCCCATCCCACCTGGAGAGAGGCTTGGAATGTAACTGGGAACATGAAAGGATGAACATGTTACTATATGAAACGTCTTCAAATCCAAACCAGAATGCCCCCTTCTGAGGAATATGGCACTTAATAAAAGGACCCCTAACTTTGTTACAATCCTCCGGACTTCTAAGAGAAATGAATCTAACATAAGATGTTAATAAAAGGTCTATGACTTCGGAAAACACTTTTCCAACTTTATCCTTTATCGGGAAGGGAAAATGCAAACTGTCTTAATTAAGCTTGAGAGATTACATAGCTAAGCAGAGGTAGCCAGATACAGGTAGATGTACATAATCCTTTAATCAGCGATTTAAAAATAATAATAAATGTAGGGGTTAAAGAGGGAGAAAGTTCAGGGGTGGGGGTAGGGGTGTCGCTTTGCCCTGCTTCCACAGGGCGCCCCGGGAGCTGGCGGCGCTGGAAAACCAGCTCAGCGCCTTCTGAGCCAGCCTGAACCCGTGCGAGTCACGAGGACACACACGACTACGCCGCTGCTGCTGCATCTCCAGTCCAGCGTCTCGGCCCAGGAGTGCAAAGAAATTCTTTAAGGCTCTGCGCCTTGCGCGGGGCACCCACCGCTCCAAACCCAAGGGGGTGGAATTGGAATGCTTTGCTGCGAGGCTGACAGCCCCTGGCAGTCCAGACCGCCGCCCCCCTCCGGCAAGGAATGCGCCCTTGAGCTGAGACCCAAGCGCGGTCACCGTGCGGTGTGAGCGAGAAGCGAGCGGCTGGAGGGAACCTGGAGGCCCAGGGCCGGGGGCCCGGAGGCGGAGGAGCTGAACACTGCTGGCGACACAGGTGTTGCACCTGCGCCCGACCCTGCGATCCCAGAGGAAGGAAGGGACAGGCATCTAGGTCCGAGGCACAGGATCAGCAGCAGGGTTGAGAATTGGGTACTCCGGGATCTGGTGCCCCCCAGAGCGGTCTTTTCCCTCTTGGGGAGTTGCCCCGATGGGTTCCAGTAGCAACTTCGCAGCAGCGACACTCCCCACCCCCTTCGCGGCACCCACCTTCCCGCCTTCTTCCACCTTTCCCTGAGTGTGACAATGAGCCTTCCCAAAGAGAGGGCACCCAACAGTGTGGGCGCCTTCCGCCCTTCGCCATCCCCTCCCTTGGGAAATAAAAGCTCTCGCCACCCACCCCAGAATAGCAGCTGGCGATGCCCTAAATAACAGTTCCCAGGAGGCATTTTCCCCCAAAATAAAAGCATACAGCCACCCCCACGTTTCCCATCACCAGCCTCAAATAACGGTTTCTAAAAGCCCCACCGTTTCTGAGATCGCTGCGCTTCCAACGGTTGCCACTCTTTCAAGCCCGAAATGTCACTTCCCCAGATGTCTAAGTGGGACCCAACCGCACCCAACCCCGCGGCGCTGGTCTCAATCCCCTCTTCGTCCCTGGCTCCCAACTTCCCAGCCCCCCAACCAGCCTTGGTCCACACGCAGGTCCCTTGCCCATCACTCCGTAGCTAATGTCAGACAATACAGCCAGAGACAGCAGAGCGGGAGCGAAAGGCTGGCGAGGAGTGGAGGGAAAATTCGCGGAGGTGAAGAGTGAAGATTTGGGCAGCGTGACCAGCGCGCGGGGAGCTACACTCCCAGGCCCCGCCTCGCCTCTCCGTCCCGGGTCGCCGCGGTCCCCACCCCCACATCCCTACCTTCGTTGCTGGGGCTGGCCAGGAGGGTCCTGAGCGCGGCGCACAGGAGGAGGCACGTCCAGAGGGGGGCTCTGCGGGGTGTGGAGTAGCAGCCAGCCAGGGACGCAGGGGTGCTGGGGGTGTCGCTGCCGCTGCCCGAGGACCGCCGGCGTCCCGCACCCCGGGGCCCCGAGCCCCGCATCTTCTCCTAGCCTCCTCCGCCGCTGCTGTCCCACGGTTCGGTCCCCTGCCCCGGCCTAGTGGAGCGGCGAGGGTGACTCGGGGCTCCTTCTCGTCCCCGTGGGGTCCTAATCCTCCGGGCAGGGGACGCGGCTTGTCCAACTGCGGAACCACGGATCGGCGGAGACGGCTGAAGTTTCTTCGGGCTCCTCTTGCGGTTCCCTTGAGCGGGCTCAAATGAACACGCGCTGCGGTTGCCTGCACAGCCCTGGATGGGGTTTTCGGCGGGGTCCCGCGTCCTTTTCCTTCGCCTTTTAAGACTTTCTAAGGATTGCGATTGTTAAAATGCCACTGGGGGCGAGGTCAAGGTCCCTTTTACGTCTTCAATGCTGAAATGGACGCGCGTAAGGAAGACAAGTCATCTTAACCCGAAACCCCCAATAAAAAGAGATTTTAAAAAAAATCAGGGTGGTGAAAGAGAAAGGAAGAGTTGAGAAAACGTGCTGTGGGGAAAACAGGAGACCGGCGAGCGAAAGCCAAGATCCGGCGAGTTCAAAGCGGCTGGCAGGAGGAAATAGCTGCGGCTGAGCGCTGGCGAGCGGCGGAGCGGC